AGGCCACCTCCCCCTCTTCACAACCACTCCTGACCAATAAAACCGCTAAAAAACACATAAAACCCACTTAAAACCACTTTAAAAAACAGTAGTAGTAACAGTAGTAGTAACAGTAGTAACAGTAGTAGTAACAGTAGTAACAGTAGTAGTAACAGTAGTAGTAACAGTAGTAGTAACAGTAGTAGTAACAGTAGTAACAGTAGTAGTAACAGTAGTAACAGTAGTAGTACCAGTAGTAGTGACAGTAGTAGTAACAGTAGTAACAGTAGTAGTAACAGTAGTAGTAACAGTAGTAACAGTAACAGTAGTAGTAACAGTAGTAGTAAAAGTAGTAGTAACAGCAGTAACAGTAGAAACAGTAGTAGTAACAGTAGTAGTAACAGTAGTAGTAACAGTAGTAACAGTAGTAGTAACAGTAGTAGTAGTAACAGCAGTAGTAACAGCAGTAGTAACAGCAGTAACAGTAACAGTAGTAATAACAGTAGTAACAGTAGTAGTAACAGTAGTAACAGTAACAGTAACAGTAATAACAGTAGTAGTAACAGTAGTAACAGTAACAGTAGTAGTAACAGTAGTAACAGTAGTAACAGTAGTAGTAATAGTAGTAACAGTAGTAACAGTAGTAGTAACAGTAGTAACAGTAGTAGTAACAGTAGTAGTAACAGTAGTAGTAGCAGTAGTAACAGTAGTAGTAACAGTAGTAACAGTAGTAACAGTAGTAACAGTAGTAGTAACAGTAGTAACAGTAGTAGTAACAGTAGTAACAGAAGTAGTAACAGTATTAGTTTCAGTAGTAACAGTAACAGTAGTAGTAACAGTAGTAGTAACAGTAGTAACAGTAACAGTAGTAGTAACAGTAGTAAAAGTAGTAGTAAAAGTAGTAGTAACAGTAGTAGTAACAGTAGTAGTAACAGTAGTAACAGTAACAGTAGTAGTAACAGTAGTAACAGTAGTAGTAACAGTAGTAACAGTAGTAGTAACAGTAGTAGTAACAGTAGTAACAGTAGTAGTAACAGTAGTAGTAACAGTAGTAACAGTAGTAACAGTAGTAATTGTAGTAGTAACAGTAGTAACAGTAACAGTAGTAGTAACAGTAGTAACAGTAGTAGTAACAGTAGCAGTAGTAGTAACAGTAACAGTAGTAGTAACAGCAGTAACAGTAGTAACAGTAGTACAAGTAGTAGTAACAGTAGTAGTAACAGTAGTAGTAACAGTAGTAGTAACGTAGTAGTAGTAAAAAGTAGTAGTAACAGTTAACAGTAGTAGTAACAGTAGTAACAGTAGTAGTAACAGTAGTAACAGTAGTAGTAACAGTAGTAACAGTAGTAGTAACAGTAGTAACAGTAGTAGTAACAGTAAAGTAGTAACAGTAGTAGTTTAAAAGTAAAGTAGTAACAGTAACAGTAGTAGTAACAGTAGTAACAGTAGTAGTAACAGTAGTAGAGTAGTAACAGTAGTAACAGTAAATAGTATAACGTAGTAACAGTAGTAGTAACAGTAGTAACAGTAGTAGTAACAGTAGTAGTAACAGTAGTAGTAACAGTAGTAACAGTAGTAGTAACAGTAGTAGTAACAGTAGTAACAGTAGTAGTAACAGTAGTAGTAACAGTAGTAAACGTAGTAGTAACAGTAGTTGTAAACAGTAGTAACAGGTAGTAACAGTCAGTAACAGTAGTAGTAACAGTAGTACAGTAACAGTAGTAGTAACAGTTAGTAGTAAACAGTAAATAGTAACAGCTAGTAACAGTAGAAACAGTAGTACGTAACAGTAGTATACAGTTAACAGTAGTAGTAACAGTAGTAATAACAGTAGTAACAGTAGTTTGTAACAAATAGTAAAATACGTAGTAAACAGTAGTAACAGTAGTTAGTAACAGTAGTGTAACAGAGTAGTAACAGTAGTAACAGTAGTATAACAGTAGTAACAGTAGTAGTAACAGTAGTAACAGTAAGTAGTAACAGTAGTATAACGTAGTAACAGTAACAGTAGTAGTAAAACAGTAGTAACAGTAGTAGTAATAGTAGTAACAGTAGTAGTAACAGTAGTAACAGTAGTAGTAACAGTAAGTAACAGTTAGTAGTAACAGTAGTAGTAAGTAGTAGTAACAGTAGTATAAGTTAACAGTAGTGTAACAGTAGTAGTAACAGTAGTAACAGTAGTAGTAACAGTAAGTAACAGTAGTAGTAGTAAACAGTAGTTTTAAAAAGTAGTAACAGTAACAGTAGTAGTAACAGTAGTAAGTAAGTAGTAAACAGTAGTCATTTAGTAAATGTAAGTAACAGTAAGTAACAGTAGTAACAGTAAGTAGTAACAGTAGTAACAGTAAGTAACAGTAGTAGTAACAGTAACAGTAGTAGTAACAGTAGTAACTAGTAGTAACAGTAGTAGTAACAGTAGTAACAGTAGTAGTAACAGTAGTAACAGTAACAGTAGTAACAGTAGTAACAGTAGTAACAGTAGTAATAGTAGTAGTAGTAGTAACAGTAACGTAGTAGTAAACAGTAGTAACAGTAGAACAGTAGTAGTAACAGTAGTACGTAGTAGTAACAGTAGTAGTAACAGTACAGTAGTAGTAACAGTAGTAACAGTAGTCAGTAGTAACAGTAGTAGTAAACAGTAGTAACAGTAGTAGTAACAGTAGTAACAGTAGTAACAGTAGTAACAGTAGTAACAGTAGTGTAACTAGTTAAGTACAGTAGTAAAGTAACAGTGAGTAACAGTAGACAGAGTAAGTAACAGAGAAGTAGTAGTAACGTAGTAACAGTAGTTTGTAACATGTATAACAGTAGTAGTAACAGTAGTAACAGTGTAGTAACAGTAGATTTAACAGTAGTTAACAGTAGTGTAGTACAGAGGTAGTTAAAAGTTCTGCTCAGCTACAGTAGGTAACAGGTGGTCGACATAGTAAGAGCTAACAGTTAGTAAGTTGAGTCAACCAGTATGTACCGTTCGGGCTCGTAACCATCCTCCACACAGTAACTTTGTATCTGAATGGAGGGGAGTCACCCGTGTAACCTGGAGTGTAACAGGTAGTGTTAACCTTCTCTTTTGAACAGTCGACCTGTCTAACTAGTGTGTCAGTTAAACAGATTTCTCACAGGTGTATTAACCCTGTCTGTGCATGAGGGTTTACATCACTATTTCCTCTGCCACTGCCTCAAACTGGCCTGAAGGCTGACAATTAAATATGTTGGACATCACCTATGTTAAGGTGCTCAGTCCCATTGACTGAGAATCCACACTATCTAATCGTTACACGAGTCTACACACAGTGGCTATCACACAGTCTACCACAGTGGCTACACACAGTCTACAACAGTGGTTCAGTCAAGTGGCTATCACCAGTTCCCGTGGCTTCACACACACAGTGGCTTCACACAGTCTACAACAGTGCTATACACAGTCTACACACCCGTGGCTATCACACAGTCTACACACATGGCTATCACCGTCTACACCAGTGGCTATCCACAGTCTACCACAGTGGCTATCAAAACAGTCTACACACAGTGGCTATCACACAGTCTTACAGAGGCTTGTAAAAGTTCCACATTATCCTCTAGACCAATCTCTTATCTTCAAAACCCCTGGTTGTCTTCAAAAACTCCCCGGTTGGGCTTCAAGACTCCCCCGGTTATCTTCAAAACCCCTGGTTGTCTTCAAGACTCCCCTGGTTTTTAAGATCCCCGGTTGTCTTCAAGACTTCCCTGGTTGTCTTCAAGACTCCCCGGTTGTCTTCAAGAACGCTGGGTTGTCTTCAAGACTCCCTGGTTGTCTTCAAGCTCCCCGGTTGTCTTCAAAACCCCTGGTTGTCTTCAAGACTTCCCTGGTTGTCTTCAGACTCCCCGGTTGTCTTCAACCTGGTGTGCTTAGACTCCATGGGTCTTCATATTCCCTCGGTTGTCTTCAAGCCCCTGGTTGTGTTTCAATACTCCCGGTTGCTTCAAAACCCCTGGTTGTCATTCAAGATTCCCTGGTTGGTTCAGATCACCAGTTTGTCTTCA